AACAATCATAAAGGATAGGGAAAAAAAAGAGATAGTGAAAAATGAAATATTATTGGGATCAAAAAGGCACAATTTCCTGTACGTTTTTTTATGAGAACTGCTTAGATATTGGAAAAAATATGAGTGATAATATTTTGCAAGTACCAAGCACCAATTTAATGCTTTTTTTTTAAATTTTCAGCTTGAAATGAATAAATATCGTGTTGGCGGGAAGCAGTTGTTGTTGAAATTAGCACAGCCAAAGTATCGTGCCCCAAAAACACCACGCTATTTGCAACAGCAACAGGCTCCTGCCTGTGAGACAGTCGGTTATTATGCAGGCACTCAGGTATTTTTGGACACAACTGAAATCGACTACCACTTTTTTTTTGTTTTCGCACACCATGTTTTTATGATCGTTCGCCACGCACGCTTTTCATGGATACTAAAGAAAAACCGGCAAAAAATGATAAAAAATTTGTGCTGCTTCTGATGACAGATGAACACTGTATGAGGTATATCAGGATAGATAACACACACACGTCCGAATTCAAATACTCCATCTACTATGTGTGGAGAGGAGCTGGTTTCGAAGATAGTGAGGATACTAGGTTTTCGAAGATAGTGAGGATACTAGGTTCGATCCCTCTCAATCAGGCCTTTTGTAAAAACGACTGTTTTTGTGACATCACGTAGTGATCAGCCAGTTAATGTTTCTAATACGGTTGTAGGATTTGTGAGAAGTTGAGAAAAGCAGTCCAGTGGAGCGAAGTGCTCCTTCGGTAACTTTCAGTCATTCTGTCCGATCCAGCGGCGCGCCTACAACTGCAGCTCGCTTACACAGCTCAGTTAGTCAAAGAGGCTCCTGAGCTCGCTATTCCCGCCGAGTTTGGAGATTTTAAGAGCCTCGTTCTTCCCGTATGTAAGCACTGAAAGCTGTAATGGTATACGGTTAAGAGGCCTATATTCCAGGATTTGTAGAGATAGCAGACGATAGCATTTTTGTAACTGTTGCTCCTAGAAATACT